ATGGACACTCGAGTGTTCCCCAATGGCCTTTCACGCTTGGAATCTTTGGCCGTACTAATACGGGAAAAACTAATGAGGTTCTTAATCTCACACTCAGAACTAAGTCTTATCGAATGTTTAATGGGAAGAAAGGAGGGACACGCTATATCAAGTGTGATGATTTGCTACTCATCGATCACAATCTTAATGAGAAAAAATATATGTTTCTTAAATCAGAGTATCAGAAAATTGCTAATAGTCCAAAGTCATATCATGAAAATATTTCATTCCGAGCTTTGAAGCCTGATAAAATTTCCAAGATAGATTCATTTTCTCCAAGCAGGGGTACGTTAGCTATATTTGAAGATCTATGCGCCGATCCAAAGGAAGTGCAGGAGAAAATTATTCCTTATTTCATTGAAGGGCGTCATTACAATGTCAGTTTGATATATGTATTCCAGAGTTACTTTGACTGCCCAAAAATAATACGAAAAAATCTTTCACACGTCTGCCTATTCAATGGGTCGTACACTATGGATGAGCTGAGCAGAATTGTACGTCAATATGCTAATGACTGGCGTAGTGTGATTAAGATTATTGACAAAGCTTTATGTAAACATAAATTCATTGTTTTCGATCTAACTGTATCTCGCGAACATCCATATAGGATACGCATCGGCTGGGACTAAATTTTGGAAAACAGTGCCTAAGCTAATAACTAGAATCGACTTCATAGATGCCAGCTCTTTTTCTGCCTCCTGCAATTGCGTCTTCAGATCATTGATTTCGCAATGCAACTTCTTATTTGCATTAATCCTCTCCCTATATTCTTTTTCTATGTCCTGCATGAATTTTCCGAAAGTTTGTTTATTATAATCGATCAGGTGTCGGGATAGTACTTTAAGCTCATTTATAACCCGGCGATTATTCTCCTCTTCATGATCATGCTTTAGTGCCTGGTTCGGCCAGGTGCTATCGTCAATTTGGATTCCATTATCTGCAACATATATAGTTAATATTTTTTTGAATGGTAATAATGTTGGGCATTCCGGCCAACTTTGAGTTCGTCTCTGACGCATTAATCTTTTCTGATATCTAATAACTTCATATTTTAAAAAAGATTCTACAATTAGATTAATTTCGCTGGCCACTTTCTCAAATAATGGGTTACGCTTCCGTGATGTGAGACGAATCCATGCCTCATTTATTATGGAAGCTGGTAACTTGGCTAGCAATTCAGAATATGCTTGGTTAAACACCATTATATATTTATACATTGCGCAAAAAATGGAATTCCATGAAATTCCAAAAAGATAGACCATTTATTGTATTAGGATCATAGCGTTAAAAGCTTTTAGAAGTTTACGCGTTAATGTCGCGAGAGATCTGCTAGAAAGCTCTGATCAAATATGCATATGACACCCGATCATTGGTCAACAAGAAAAAATCATGTGTTTTCTGAGACCGCGCGATCCCACAAATTTGCCAAGAAAATTTTTTTTATCTGATACACTCACTTTATTAATAATATAACTTATAAAAATACATGTATGAAATTTCTATTCTATTAATTTTTGGGGGTCAAAACTGTTACTGCCATCTCGCCAGAACTATGCTCACTATCTTCAGAATAGGAATCATACAATATCTTATAGATTGTACATGCGATAGCTGTTCTTAACATCATCAAAGCATGGATAAGCGGATATATGGCACTTGGTGAAGTCATATGTAACAGAATCGGCGCTTCCTCTATTAAACAGTACTTGTAAATACTCGATTCTCTACGCATAGTATAAAGTTTCATAATATCACCTGAAATATATAAAAGCAATAGCCGAAGGCATTTTTGCATGATTAAGCATTATTGATTTGAAATACAAGAGTGTAATATAAAGAAAAATATACATATAATGCATTACCTGCGATGTTTATAGCAAATATAGACAATATATGCCTCTTGAATGAAAGATTGAATACCCTCTTAAGCTTTGATATTTTTCTAGTAGTATCGATAGAATCTTTGGAAAACTGGATTAATTTTTTATGATCTCGCTAGCGTTTGTCTTGACTGAAATTAGGTCTACCAGTTTCAAAATATACCATTTCAAGCTCTACACCTTTTCCCAGCTCCACTACAGTCATATAATCGGGTCTTCGTGCGAACTTGCGTGATCCTTTTCGTATAGTACTAGCTGAACTTCCCTCTTCACCCCTAAATGGAAGAAATTACCAAGAAAAAGATAGGTTATAAAGCCAACAAATTTTTGGGATGGCCCCTTCTTTGAAAAGGATAGAAGAGGAAAATTCTGATCGTTCCCCAAGGGAACGGTTTTTTGTTGTACAGAATGATTCAAGAAAGAATTTCGACATTGATGTCTGTACAATAAAGTAAGTGCTATTATGTATACGAAGCGACATATACTGTAACATTTATTTTTCCCAGTGCACACCTCACGCCATCATTCTTAGCTATACGATTAATTGACTCCAGGATCACTTACAAAAAAAGTGGATCATATTGTAAAGATAAGTACTTTATTAACTTCAATGAATCATAGAAACGCCGAGGATAATTTTATTACAAACAACGATCTCTATTTAATAGGAGTTCGGTTCTTATTTAAATGAGGATCACTTTCTGACATCATACGTCTTCTTTTGTTTTTTGTATTATTTTGTAAGATTTCTTTTATGATTTTTCCTGATTCAAGCGATTTCGACTACATTGATTCTATATGTTAAAAATGCCGATTAAATACTGATAAATCTTATAATAGCTTACCTCTAGCAACCTAAGAATGCAATATGCATCCTCAAGGATGCTTAAATCATCTTCATCAACCGATAATTCGCACTTATCTATTTTACCAAATCTGTATATTCCGCATCCAATCCAATCCATAGCGTAAAAGCTTAGTTCAACTCCTGACATTTAAAATATTAATATATTTTTTTAATATATACTAAATATCACATTGAACGAACTTACCAACTTGCAACCAACCGTAGACTATCAACTTTTTACGTTGTTCGTCTGTTACGTGCAAATAGTTTTTAAAGAATTGATTCAGACTGTCCCTTAACATCACCATAAGTTTTACTTTGTCCACGTATTGTTTTTTCCTACAGGAAGCAGGCAAGCCGAAAGAAGTCAAACCACCGGAAACTTCGCCATAGATTATCTCAAATTTATTCGGTGTTTTGATTAAGGTTCCTTTCATGTCAACCTTGTGTCCAATTCTAGTCTTTGTGAAGGGATTTTGTTCTTCATTCCGTGCTTTATTTGTCGAGATTGCTTGAATCTCACCCCTGTATTTTTGATATAATTGTCAACTGTAATATGACTGAATTTCCCTCAAAAAAAAAATAATGATCTATTTACCAAGAATTATTTATATTCGGCGAATTGAAAATTCCTGAAAACAATGGAAATGTTGTTGACATTTTTAACTCTTCTTCGGTGCATGTCTTTCGTAGCTTGGGCAATTTATCTACCCTAAATAATATATAAATAGGAACATTAAATAACAAAATAATTTACACAATGTATTCATTAATATACATACATAAATTGCACGTTCCTGTCTAATTTTTTGATGACATCGATATTATAAATGTCAACACAATTTCCGTCGAAATATTCTTGAACTTCTTTTGGAGCTGTAATATCTTTCCATTCAATTTTGTTCGAAAAATCCTGAGATAATTTTTGTATATCCATATCCTTTATACCTGAGTTTTTGAGACTCTCCTTCGTCAGATCCAATATCCCCCAATACGCAGGGCTAATGAATAGAATGTATAGAATATTAACAAGCAGGATGCAATTGTGATTATAATGATGGTTCTAAACTTACGTCAAAGCTTTGCGAGTTTTTGGTATCTTTTTTTGATATTTGTTAAATGCTTCGATAATATTTGTATCAAGGAACTCCTATTGATAATAGAATAATAAATTTGTTGAATACTTATTCATAAAATATTTATAACAAGATTTACCTCTGATATTTTATTGTTAACGTTTACTGATGGCAATCGAATTTCGTTCAATAGAGAACTCTCATCAATTTTTTCGATAATTGATTCTTCATTAGATTCACTAAAGAGAAGTTGAACATTTTCAAGAAATTCATCGTCATCTTCATTTATTTTTTCGGGATATTGAAACAGATCATTCGATTGGTTATCTTCTTATCTTCCTCTTCGGATCTTTTCCTTCGTCGGTCGGGATGAAAGTCCCGATTTCGTCCTTCATTTCCATCTATTGTGGATAAATGATAAGTATAATTTTTTAGAAATATAACAGATATCTTTAGTATTATTCTATATGTCATGCTTCTTGAGTTGATATTACACACTTTCTTGTTTTCTGAACAGGAAATGTCTGTCTCAGTTGAACCGTCATCATAAGAATCAGAGTTTCGTTTCCCCATAGAATTTTGAACGTTATTGGCATTTCCCTGGTTCGAAATTGTTGCATCACCCTGAATTTCATTGCCATACCAAATACTTTGGATATTAATCTCGGTATTCGGAGTTTCGCGCATATTGTTAAATTTTTGCAATTGCCTCCAACTTTTTGCCAGATGGTAATCAGGTCGTGTACCCTTATAAAAAAAAAGAAGAGATAATTAGTGTTCTCAATAATATAAATGTTATGGTTCTCAGCTCGTAAGTAAGTCAGTTCGCCACGTAGGCTTCAACAACAGACAAGCGCGTAGGTTATCTGTGCCCCGACGGATCAGTGTTAAGTAAGGCTCGTAGACTTAAACATCAGACAAGCGCGTAGGTTGTCTGATGCCCAAACACTGATTTTGTTGATTGAACAAACACGAAAAAAAAAATTACCTCTTTATATTTATCTACAAGTAGTTGTGCCTTTTCTTTTTTGCTTCCGTGTTCGCTTTGAATAATATGTTTGAGATATCTTAAATACGAATCTATAAGTATTCGAAAAGGTTCCTCTTTATTGTCTTCTAAAAAATCAATAATATTCCAATCGCTATGAGTTTGGTCAAAGTATTGGTTTATTCTATTTATTTTATTCATAATGGAATGACTGATAAAAGTGTATCCATGTCAGCATAAAACGCGAATGATCAGCCGATCATGTGTTGTCAGACGACTTATCAACTGGGGCGCAGTGAAATTTCGGTCTTTATTATTTGATACGTATGACAAGTCTTCACCGGTACTTTATTACTGTAGTATTAAAATATGCGAGCAATAAAAAATAAATACAAGCGCGAGACTAACTTGCTTTACATGATAAAGCTTCTATGTTAACATTGCGAATTTGAATTTATTGCTTGAAGTGTTGCAGGTAAGACAATATTCCAACTTATCTTGGGATAGCAACTTCGCTAATTCAGGGTCATAAGGGAACTGATTCCCATTTTCGCAGTACCATGAGCCATGTAATCCATAATTCCCATGTTTTCCATCGCGAATAGGACATGGTGAGCTCCACGGTTGAGGTGATGCAAAATTATAATTATCAATCCCTCTGAAACTATTTCGGAATTTCAGGTATATAAAATGTTCTAAGACAGACTTGATAATTAATTCTGGATCAGGTTTGGCTTCGAAAGTGATGGGCCCATTTTCTTCACATTGCTCAGAAAAAGATAAATAAGATGCTTTGTTTTCTGGCTTCGAATTTACGAGAAGGCTGGCTTCTGATGCATACGCTTCTGATAATTGCCATGGATTATACCCAGTTTCTTTTTTATATTTTTTGTATAAGCTGGACTGAATCTTATCCGTCAAAATGCATGGTAAACCAATTAATTTGGCAAGCCAATCCAGATACTCAGGGGTTAATACTTTATCAGACTTGCTTATATTGCCTTTTATATGATTACAGATCAATTTAAATTCCTAGATAGAAAGCTGTCTAATATTTCTTATCATATTTTCAAAAAAATAATTAGAGGCCCCAAAGGGCGGGATCATCTTTTGAAGTATCTATGATATAAGAGAGAGGTAATGAGACTATGCAGTTATCTTAATTTCGCGCTATTCACATTTAATAAAGTAAGATCCAGATTTATACATACCTTCTATACTTTCCTCGTCATTATAATCTAAACTGCATAATGGATATAATTTCTCATTGGTAATTCCATAATAATCGAAATTTTCACTACTAAATTCTCTATATAAACTAGGATATTGATCCAATGTCTTGTTTCTAAAATAGGATCGGTCATAAGTTGGATTAGTCCTACTTGCTTAAGATGAAATTGTTTCTGCTGAAGTCATATGACTCTAAAGCTCCAAACGGTTCAGATTAATCTGAAAATTTTCAGTTCAGATTAACTTCAGTTCGGTTTCAGATTGCAAAAAATTCAATCCGAAAATTTTTGGTTCAGTTCAGATTTTTTTCAGATTATAAATCTAATCTGAACTGAAAAAAATCTAAACTGAACTGAAAATTTCGGATTAATCTAAAATTTCGGATCGTTTCAAATGAACGATTCTTTTATCGTTCTTTTGGAACGATAATTTCATCGTTCCAATTGAACGATTTTCTTATCGTTTATTTGGAATGATGATTTAATCGTTCTAATTGAACGATTTTTTATCGTTCTAATTGAACGATTTTTTATCGTTCGTTTGGAACGATAATTCAATCGTTCCAAATGAATGATTCTTTTATCGTTTATTTAAAATGATAATTACATCGTTCCAATCGAACGATATTCTTATCGTTTGTTTAAAACGATGATTTAATCGTTCCAAATGAACGATTTTTTTATCGTTTTTTTGGAACGATAATTTAATCGTTCCAATCGAACGATTTTTTATCGTTCTAATCGAACGATTTTTTATCATTCCAATCGAACGATTTTTTATCGTTCCAATCGAACGATTTTTTATCGTTCTAATCGAACGATTTTCTTATCGTTCGTTTGAAACGATGATTTAATCGTTCTAAATGAATAATTCTTTTATCGTTCGTTTATAATGATAATTCAATCGTTCATTTAGAACAATAATTCAATCGTTCTAAATGAATGATTTTTTATCATTCTTTTAGAACGATAATTTAATCGTTCCAATCGAACGATATTTTTATCATTCTTTTGGAATGATAATTAAATCGTTCCAATCGAACGATTCTTTTATTGTTCTTTTAGAACGATAATTCAATCATTCTAAATAAACGATTCTTTTATCGTTCATTTGAAACGATAATTCAATCGTTCTAAATGAACAATTCTTTTATCGTTCGTTTAGAACGATGATTTAATCGTTCCAATCAAACGATTTTTTATCATTCTTTTAGAATGATAATTTAATCATTTCAAATTAATGATTAAAAATCATTTATTAACAATAAAAATATTACTGCGGAAAGCTGCAGAATGTGAAATTGTCAAATGAATGTTTGACTATTTTCTTCAAGTAGAATATTCGTACTAACTATTTTCTCTTTGACTTTGCA